CGACATCTGGTGAAAATTTCATGTCATTAGCACCTCTAGTAATATATTTACTGAGAAAAATGGTAACGTGTTCAATACTTATTTTACCCGCTGTATATTTTGGTTCTGTTTGTTATGATATCGGACCGATAACTATCGTGCACCCCTAGTTGCTTCTCTAAGGTCATCACTGATACATTTCTATTCTGACTTTGTGTTAACACACCGGTAAGCTCCAGAGCAACAAAATGATGAAACTCCTGCTTTTATCGAGGTGATCACACTGATGATGATTAGTTAACCAATACGTTAGATCAGTAGCACCTGGCTGATACTGTACCTCCTTAATTCTGTGGAAGCAGACATAGTTTTTCATTTTGACTTAATCAGCTTTGTTTTGTTTACTTAATAATAATAATAATAATAATAACAATATAGTGAAATATTTTGTGTCTTTGTTATTTGAGGTTAGACTGAAGTAGTTTTAAAAGCTTGTGAACCCACAACTATTGATTACATCCTCATGAGTAAARCCAAAGTATTGAAAAGGGATGAACTCTCCTTTTCCATGATTGTATCTGCAGTAATCACTTCTAAATCCTTTATAATAGTTGTGTTCTGACTACTACTACTACTAAAATAAATACACTTCAGAATAAAATATTATAAATTTGTTTTCAGTAAATTTTCAGTACTGATTGTTCATGAATAAATAGAACATATTCAAAGTAAACAGTGTTGAAGTGAAATATTAAAACGGTCATTCTCAAATTTCCATCCTGCTGGCTTCAAGTTAAAAAAGTAATCTAAACAAGTTTAACAGCCTTAAATACGCCTTCAGTCAAAGTTAACCTCCAATATCAATTACACACAAGTCACAATGTTAATGCTTGTTGACATCAAMTGACTGAAAAATACAGGATGAACTGAAAGTAAACAAATTCATGACACGGTCATTTGCATTATTCAAAATGCTGCACATGACGCAGCTACTGTGCATCCCTCAACCACACCCGAAGGAAAAAATGAAAAAATAAAGAGGATTGTTGCCACCAGCAAAGTGTCTGAGCTGAGGGTTTGTGTCCGCACAGTTTACCACCCCCCTGGACTCTACACGCGATACTTCCCACCAATCTCAGGTTTCTCTCGATGCCTTCTGACACCTGCTGCCTTTGTTCCCACCCAGTCCACAAGTCAAAAACCATCGAGTTCACCAACAGCTCCACCTCGAACAAAGACACGTCTTTACCTGGCTTCTGTCATTTTAAACCCAACCCGAGTCAACAACTGATGTGTCACTGTTCTGAGCACGTCCCCTCCCACTCTGTAACCTGYGAGATCAGAAAAACGAAACTATAGAGACAAACACTCAGGGTGTGGATCCAAAGCAGCAGGGACAACACAAAACAACTTACAGTACAGAGTTCACTCAAACGGCTGTTAACGTCACGCTATACTGGTGTGCGATAACATACGCAGCATTTCAAGCCTTCATGTTTTCAACAGCAAGTTCTTGCAAATTTATCTYAAAATTAGATGTCAGGAACACTGTCAGCACTGACCGCCACAATGTTTGCACCCAAACTTTGTGTATTTGACAAGAAAATATTTTAGCTCCCAAAATGCAGCTCAACACCTGCAAAACTGACTGAGTTATAACATTTTTGTGTTTGTTAAAGCCAGTTAGCTGTAGTTGAATTGATGTGTTTAAAAAAAATCTGCTGTAGATTTATATCCAGTGATCATTCTCTAAAAGTTTCATTAAAATCCAGCCAGTAGCTCATGTGAAATTTTGCTAAGAGAGATGGAGACATGATTCATTTAAACAGGTATTGAAAAGGGTTTGAAACAAGATATTGCACTGTAACTTGGCACTTAAGACTACAAGTTGGTTATTATTCAACTATCATACCAATTGTTAGATCAGTATCTACATTGGCTGCGTTATATCTATGGATGTGGTTTCTAAGGTCATTTATCTGAGGCAGCCATGAAATTCCATCCAAGCATTACATCTGAAAGTTTCATGAACATCTGCACAGTAATTTACAGTTTTTGCTAAAGTATGCTTTGCTAATATGACAAACAAAAACACACATAAGACAAACCATTAATGCCTGACACCTAAGGGAAGAGGAGGACTTTGGAAGAGCGTGTATTTGTTGGAAGTACGAATCCTGTAAAGGCTTCATCAAACATCTCTCTGAAGTAAAACATTCTTTCCAGGCACCAAAGCTGGTAATCATTGTGTGTGTGTGGAAAAGAGTTGTGCTTATCAGCTGTTATGGTGACAAGGCCAGGCTTGTTCATTATGACTCTGAGTGTAAAACAGGTACATATTAACGGCACATTTCTGACTCACTGAACACTTGGAGTCAGGCCAGGAAATGAGTCTGAACTCTAAAAGAGTCCATTATGTCACACAAAGAGGTTTACGGGATCAAACCTAAAATTCTGCTCCTCCTTTAGCAGGAAATCCACTTCATTTCCCATCAAACAGCTTTTGTTTTCGAGCCGTACGGTTCTGAGCTGTGAAAAGACCCTGTCTGTGTTAGGTTTTGTTTTCCTGGGTATGCTCTCGGTCTTGGTCCCAACAGACAAGAGGAGTCGTTCTTAAATTAGTGGATTTGTGAC